CTATACAAAGTTTTCACATTCTGATCAAATCACAATCCAACTGATTAACGCTCATTCAAGAAGCAATAAATCATTTTAATTCGACATTAAACATTACTGTATTTACCTAACAATTTTCTTATTTATTAATATCATTAATTTCCGTGATTAAACACACGAATACCAATAATACACGCAATATTAAAACTGCACAAAAATTTAACGCATAATTCCTCCTTAAAACCTAAGTATAATACCATCAAAATCTTATTATAGATACAGAATAATCTCTCTTCCAAGGTTGAATTCCTTTCTTTCCGTCAGCTCGAAGAATTTCCAAGCGACCCGTGAACCACGACAGGAAAACAATGTCAAGGTACTGTGCAGCTCTCACGTCCTCAGTCAATCCCAAAGCTAAAAAGTCACAGGGGCAAGGGGAATCGATTGCACGCTCCACCTCAGTCCTTTCAGGAAACATAGTAGCCGAGCCACCGCGTCCCCAGGATTCAGTAAAGATAAAAAGTCGCCAATACGTAAAACGAAGTTCGACGTCAATGTTCGTCAAATCTCCGTCGCATTCTGTTCCGTTTGCTTCTTCGTCACGCGACTCAGTCAATAACATCAACTGTTGTTCTATACGATTTGTTTGAGGCTTTCACGCGCAGAAATACTATGAGAAATGTTCAAAGTTTCCAAGTGTAAGCCGTATTCATTAGGAATTGTTTCCCGACGTTCCGCTAACATTGCAGCTGGCATCATCGGGGGGTTCTGAGGACACACTAGTACTGGTTAGTCAGAATCAGTGCTTCCTATTTAAGCATACCTTGCTCGGAGTTCCGGATAGATGGTCACCAAACTAGTGTTTTTAATTGGTCAGCTGATCAATTAAAAATTGTTATTCTATAGCTACCGATGCTGGCATTCTAAGTAGAAGAGTCTTCTTGCCCTTGTGTACTTTTAGCTTTTAAGGTTCCAGTTCACGTTGAAACATGCGACGATACAGGCATCGCTACAAGCGATGGGTTTGAGCCTCACTTTTTGTTTGAGTGGAACATGTATCATGAAAGCTTAAAAGACTCAAATCTATCGCTTGTAGCGATGCTTGCATTGTCGTAAGTTTCAACGTGTATGGAACTCAGTGAAGCCAGAAAGTAACCAAATGGTTGCCTTTCCCCACTCCGTTTTACCCCATTCCTCATCAGCAGGTATCCTCCAACAACCTCCGCAACCACCGCAGGACCCATTAGTAACGCCAGGGAGAGGGTAAACTGTATTCCCCTCAATTTTCCCCCTCTGGCCACACTGATGGGAGCCTTTAGGATCAATTTGGGACGTGATAGTTGTACAAGTAGCAGCTGAACAGTGTCCGTTTGACGGGTACAAAAACGAAGAGAAAACTGAATTTTCGCCAGGCGACGCGGCAACAGAGTCGTAACCGGTCTCTCCTTGTGCTCTCCTCCTCTAGTTATTTACGATTCCGCGACAAGCGGTTGTTCGTCATGACTCATGACAAGAAGGCATACCGCGCGGGCCGCTCGTCCGCTGCAAGTGCATCGGCTCCGCGCTGCGCACGCATCGTATACAACGAAACGCACTATTCGCGCGTGGTAACTCTCCTCTCCTCGCCGCGGGCCGCGTTTTCGCTTTTCAAACATGCTTCGAGCATTACGGTGTGCCGCGTTGCGTGCAAGTCGCGGCCAAGCAAATAGGGAGGAGCCATCTTGTCCCGATGATTTACATGAGATCTTGGCGACTCCTCCGCGCGGAATTGATATGCACGCGTGCACGCCCGCATATACGCCCGTTGCAGCATGCACCGTTGCACGTGCCGTTTTCTTTTTCGCCAGGCTAGCTTGATGCCCGCTCGGGAAAGGTGTATCGGTGTTTACACGGTTTGCGCCTAGCAAAATGTTGCTGTTCTTCCTTTGCTTCCAGTCTTTGCTACCCGTCTAGATCTGCTCTGCTGATTGCGGCCGCTCGAGGCTCCAGCGAACTCTTTCGGACTTCTGTTCATCCGAGCTCGTAGTTGATACGGCTTTCGAGTTACGCCGAAACTTTCTTACGGTTCGCCTTTTTCCCTCCCAGGCTGACAAAGTTCGATCCAGCTTGTTTTCCGTTGGTCCTGTCTGTGGTTAGTTGATTTTGTTTTGTGAACTGGTGATTGGACATTTTGGAATTAATAGGTTTGTTTTGATTTCGGAGAAAGAGAACGTTTAAATGTCTTCATTTATAAGTTGTTGTGTTTGGAAGGGTGATTGTGAAGATATAAATGAACTTTGTTTGATGTATCTTTTTAAATGGTGTTATGTGTGTTATTATTATTGGAGGTTTGTCGTTGTAGTCGAGAAAAGTTCAATAACCTCGTACACTCTTATCTTGAAATGATTTTAGATTCAGCAAACTATGTTTAATCGTCGTGAATATTAACGTATTTGCTTTGGTTTCTCAAGGTATTAGATAAGCGATTATATTAGCAGT